TCCCCCTCCCCTCCACCCAAGTTTCAATTTCGTGAAAACTTAAATAAACTTTGAAAAAGGAAATAGTTGACAAACTTGGTTTAAATTTAGGAAATATATTTCTTTTTAATCTAAATTCAATGAATAAAGAATATCAATGCACTCAAAAAATCATAATCCCAAAACATTCAAAAAGTGACCGCCATCAAGAAATGAGTATGAGATCATTTAAATGAAATGGGGTCACGGATGAAAAATGAGGGTTACATTTTTGGACAAATTAAAGTTTATTTTTAATTAGTGGCTATTTGAAAAAGCAATGGTTAAAAATTAAATGTCTATTGTCAACTGAATCCGGCCTGCTAATTGCTGATTTTTATGAAAAAAAAATAATTTTTTATCAATTTTGCCTTTTATTCATGTATTGATGATGATGAAGATTCCTCCACGTTTTTCTTTGAGAAAATTGTTTTCAAATTCGGACGAGGCTTTTCACAAAATTATTTTTCTTTTGCACAGACTTGCAGGATAATGGTCAATGTTTATTTAACTTTAGTACTAGTAGTAGTGGTTTTAAAGTGAGCTGAGCATTTGCAGATACATTGATGTATTAATGTACAATTCAGTACATGAAAGTAAAGTACAGGACAGAACAGTACAGTACAGTACAGTATTGTACTGTACTGTACTGTACTGTACTGTACTGTACTGTACTGTACTGTACTGTACTGTACTGTACTGTACTGTACTGTACTGTACTGTACTGTACTGTACTGTACTGTACTGTACTGTACTGTACTGTACTGTACTGTACTGTACTGTACTGTACTGTACTGTACTGTACTGTACTGTACTGTNCAATGTAGCCTGTTCGAACCCAGCTAGTTAGCAGAACCCTGCCCGAACCCAGTGGAATACTTTTCGAAACCAGCAAAAGACTGCTCAAAAAAACAAACTTTTATTGATAGTTGACTTAAAAAAGATATAATTTAAAAAATGTTACATACGTACACCTATTATCATTGTTATTTATCATTCATTATGGTAAACCATTCAAACAAAAATGTGATTTAGAAAGTTTATAATAATGATATTAATAACTCTTTTATAATTTTTGGCTTGTCTGTCTGTTTGTATCCAATAAACGTAAAAACGGCTGAACCGATCGGGCCCAAATTTTTTGTGGGACCTCACGGGACTCCGGGGAAGGTTTATGAATGATCAACATTTTTAAATTTTGTGTTTAAAAGTTTTTTATTTTTGAAAAATTTTGAAAATGCGCAAAAAAATATTATGAAATCCGCAAACTTTTTCAGAGATAAAGTCACAATTAAAAGTTGAAAAAGAAGATGGGCGCGAAGCGCCCTAAAAGCCTAGTAATTTATAATTCTACACATTTTTGTATGAATGGTTTACCATAATGAATGATAAATAATAAGCTCTAAAATACTTTTATATGCAAGATTTTACATATCACCTATTCATCACTGTAATTATTGTTGAATCCAAGAAGACAAAGTTTTACACTGAAAAAGAGTTTTAAGCATATAACATAATCCCCTCGTTTTCATTTTTGATTTTTTTTCAGTTAAAGTTAATTATCAATAAAAGTTTTTTTAGCAGTCTTTTGCTGGGATTCCGTGGGTGGGGTTAGGGCAAAGTTCTGCTAACTACCTGGGTTCCAGCAAGATACTGCTGGGCTCATGGCTGCATGGCCACCCCTCCCTCAGTCCACAGCTCTTCCACTGCAGTACACAGATTTGACGCATACACTGTAAATATTAAAACGTAATAAAAAATCAAGAATTTTTGGAAAAGAGTATTTCTGCAGATTTTCTTGATAAATTATCCCTAAATTTTGAATATTTTGAAAACGGCGGAAATAAAAAAAAATACACATTTTTTTATTATTTTTATAAGAAAAACTGAATGCAGAACAATATTTTTAAAACTGTTAATAATGCAAGTCATTATTATTAAGAAAAAGTGGATAAAAATATAACAATTTCAGGATACATATTCGCGCCATCTCTATTTTAGAGTAGACACCACCTAGCGGCCAAATGCGGCAGCTGTCGAATCATAATTTCTGGATAAACTATTCAGATTTTTTGAATAATTTGAAAAAACTTCCACATTAATAATACAAATATCAATTTAATTAAATAAAAACACAAACAGAAAAAAACAAATTGGTAATTAAATAAGATTTATTGAATATATATGTAAACTGTACAAAATAGCATTTAGACATTTTAAAATTTTCTCCCTCCCTGCTACTGCCCTCCCTGCTACTCC